CCAATAACTGAAGTCTTTTATTTTCAACTCTGGGGGGTGGGGGGGTCTGTCTGAGAGTTTGGCAAGTGAACCCAGCTGTTCAGCATCTAAGTGTTCATGTGAAAAGACCTGAGTTAGCGATGGTGGCCTTGCAGGGCCCCGCATAGTTTAATCTTCAGCCCCCACAATCATTTGAGGAAACCATAATTTTAAGCAATATAAAAACATAGTCTTCTCAAATGTTAGGAGTGATTGGTTTACACACACACACACACACACACACACAAATTATATATATATATATATATATATATATATATATATATATAAATATATATATAAATATATATATAAATAAAAGATGGTGGGCATTTTGGATTTTGACATGGCAACCCAGTGTTTGATGGTGACCATTTTTACACCTAGATGCAGCCACACACCAAACTGCAAGTTGACACGTTGCTTATTTTTAAAGTTATCCAGCTTACAAGGTTCATGCATGGCGGCAGACATCTTGAATTTTAACAAGGCAACCACAATGTCGAAAGGAATCTTTCTTACAGTAGGTGCAACCCCACACCAAAATGGAAGTTGCGACTTCATTTATTTTTCAAGTTATCATGCTCACAACATGGACAGACAAATGGACAGAGGGTGTCTAAATACCCCTCTTCAATCTGCAACAGGGAAAAATAAAGTAAAAATAAATGTTTGTCTATGCCAAGAATATTCATCAGTGGTTAATTTGACTACTACTGGAAAAAGATCTGGGAACTCCCTCATTCTGACCAACTGTGTTCCAGCAACTATTTGGTCGGATCCGGCAAATGTCCGCCCCTAAAAGTCCAAAGTCATTGCACATTTTTATTTCGGATTATTTATTAAAAATACAATGAGAGGAGACGTTGCCCAGTCTGTGGAGTGGATGTTCCAGCCACAGTACACGCACCAGCTCGCGCACATGCTCCTGCTCAGCAGAAACGCGGACTGCATGTCCAGCGGGGAACGTCTTCGTGCTTCAGCTGTGCGCCCTGCAGACAGTGCAAGTTTTACGCACAGGAGCGTCTCCAGACAGCTCTCCAGAGCACATAGACATATACACACAGCTGAAGGTGGATGGTGGGATGTGTTCTGCTGGGCAGGAGTGTGGTGTGGTTGGAACCACCACTCCACAGACTGGGCAACGTCTCCTCTCATTGTATTTTTAATAAATAATCAAAATAAAAATGCACAATGACTTTGGACTTTTAGGGCCGGCAATTTGAGTTGAGTGTGGGGGTGTGGTAGGACGTTTGACTGTAACGAGTCTGTATGGATCGGCACAACACCTGACTCAGGACAACATTAAAATAAAAGGTTTTATTTTATTAAAGGCGTTCGTCTGAAGGATCTGAGCCTCAGTTCTGGTCCAATCTATGAAGACAGACAGGTTAGTGACTGCAAAAAGGTTTTGGGAGCTGAGAGATGGTGTGCACGTCACTAACCTTCTGTGGCAGGAGCAGAGCTGAGACAAAGAACGTTGGAGGGCTGGGCAGGAAACAGAATCCAGGGACGTAGCAGGGGTCGAGAGCCAGGAGCTGTGTGAACAGGCAAAAGGATGATCCAAAAAGGAGAATCCGTGGTCGTTGTCAAAGAGGGGAGCAAGGTCGTACCGTGTAAGCTGCAGGCGTGGTATCCAGACAAGGGCAAGACAAGGCGAGGAGTCAAGAACAAAGCTGTGGTCATAAACAAAGAAACTGTGGACGAGGACTGCTGGATACTTTACTGGCTGTGAGGCTTTCAATAATCTGGCACTGAGGAGAGTGAGAGTGGAGCTTAAGTAGTGAGCTGAACAGGTGTGGCAGGTGAGTGGTGATTGCAGAGACAGGGTGCAGCAGATGAGTGCAGATTGCTGAGAGAGAGTGACAGGAGCAGAAAATGGGTGATAGGCAGTGCAGGACCAAACAGGATGAAATAAACAGAAAACTGAGGCAGGAAAAAACATGAATGATCTTAAAGCAGGGGCTGTGATATGAAGAGCAGAGGCTTAGGCAGATGGGGGGGCAGCGGGGGCCGCTGAGCGTGACATAGCCCCTCCTTTAAGGTCCGGCATCCTGACGGACCACCAAAGAGAAAGAACTAACAAGGACCGGGCGGGTGGAGGGGGCACTGGAGGTGGGCAAAAAGGCAGGTTGGAGGTCCGAAGGGACCTCCAGAGAAGCCCCAAAACTCTGGTGGACGACCTGGCCACTGTCCAAAAAGTGGCAAAGTCCAGGTCAGATGGCCGTGTAAGCCTTGCTGGGGCCAGATCAAAGGTAAGACCAGGACAAGTGCTGCACCAGGCAGGAGGATCAGAGCTGCAGCACACATGGGGGTCCTGGAGGCCGCTTTGGCCGACGAGGAGGGCTGTGGGTCAGCCGCAGCAGACGTGGAAACCTGGAGGGGAGCCGCAGCCGACGTGGAGGCCTGGAGGGGAGCCGCA